AGGGCCTGGGGGAGGGGCCGCACACGAGGAGGGGGCGGGGCTGTCCCTCACCACAACAACAACCCCCGCCCCCACTTTCCACCCCCAGCCCGGACAGCCGCATTGGACGAGAAGGGGGAGGGGAGAGGGTGCTGGGCACCCCAAGAAAGAGGGCGAGTGTGACTTGTAGGGAGCGAGATGTACCCTCATGAACTTTTATGACATATACTCTGTTTTTCAGGAGGTTGAGACCGAAGAGTTTAGTGACTTTAATGTGGGAAGACAATAAGGGTCTCTCCCACCCCCCACTTGGCCTTAGTGGTCGCGTCCTTTTAAAGGGCCCGCTGGGTGGTGCTTTCGGTAGGGGCTAGATCCTGAAACATGCACGTGTGGGAGTTCAGTTATTATTGATGCGGATGGTGGTACAGGGGAACGAGTGTCATGTCCACCTGAGAAATATGAGGCCTTGAAAAATTAAGTGTTTTCCACCTGTTCTTTAACGTTTTTATTCCCTCCAAGAACAGTGCTTCAAGGAGATCTAAACTGGCTCTTTTCTCCATGAGAGAAAGGTGGTGGGGCTGGTTAAGCTGGAACTAAGTAGGATGGAGGCTGGAGAGCAGCGGGAAGGGTGGGGTAGGGGGAGGCACCAATCAGCAACCATGCGGGAAGAGGGATCTCCCCCAGGGAATGGACACGTGTGACCGCCCTAGAGAAGACAAGCTTGGAGCACTGCAACTGCCCTCGCGCTAGAAAAGCTGCCTGGAAGAGTGCGCACATTGTGGTTAGAAAGCTTGGGGGATGGGAAAAGTGCGTTCAAGAGTCTGGGGAGTGTGTTCTGGTGGGGGTGGAGACCGCCTCGCCTAGGCTAAGGGAATGTGTTCCAGGAAAAGGATGTTGAGGCATGGGCTTTAGAAATGTAAAATACTATCTATATGGCACGTTAGAAATTTGCTAAACCTGAAAGAAAAAAAAAAAAAAAATCACCTCCAAAACCAGAAGTTTTGAAAAACTACATTGAATGCCCAGATATTTGTACGCACATTGGACATTGCAATTATTTAGTACTACATTCTACTCAGGGTCTCAAAAGGCCCTAGCTAGGTTTTGTAGTCTTCCTCTCCCGAACATTTCCCAAATTAATCACGTCTGTGTTGAGTGATGGACACAAACACAAAACGTACAGTGGTTAAATCAAAGATCCTTTTCTACCTGTGAGCACTATACAGTCTGAAAGAAATGGCAAACATGGTGCCATCTTTGATGCATATTGGGTTGGGCTGTCTGGGGGACTCTCCCCTACCCCTCCCTCTCCTTATTCTGATCGTGTTAATAACCTGTTGTAATTTCATAAAGGCAGCACTGAACAACATAAATTCATAAAATGTTTACTTATGTGTATCTTTAGTGAATCAACTGATCTTAAAATATTTCATCTTCTAATATTGCTCCCCCCCCCCAAGAAAGAGCCCAGAAGTTTTCTTCATCCTCAAATTTCACCATGCTTTAGTTTTTGACAAAATGAGCACACATCTAAATGTTCCCAAAGAACATTTTTTAGTGTTTTTAAAGCACAGCTACAGTATAGATATTCCATTAATAGATGAGATGTGAAAAGGGTGACAGGCCACTGTGGGATTAATCACATAACCTGATTAGATGTTTTCTGAACTTTCTTCTCCTGTCTTTCTTCATTTCCTCACTGATCAATTTCACTTTCCACTTTTTGCTCTCCTTTTTTTTTTTTGTTACTGTTTTTCTGCACATTTGTTTCTAATCCATGATAGCCTCACTATTTTTTCCCCACCATTTTCCTGATTCTATCTTCTCATTTTTGCTTTTATCTTTTATCATCTTTTAACCTCTTTACCTGGCCTTTTAATTGTCCCTACTAGCCAGACTGGTAATGACAGTGCCTAGAATGTTAATAGGAGGAAGCAAAGGCTGAGAAGATTTGGCTACTAGTTGATTACTCCCGTACATTTGAATGTCAGTTACAAACGTCTTCCCTCCACCCCCAACTCAAATTGGAGGCTACTCTTACTGTTTTCTTCCCTCCTCCACCCTTTGCCAAGTCCTATAAATCAACAAGGCTGTCCTAGAACTGAAAGTGCCCTCTAGTGGTGATTAGAGATTGGTCTCTTAGACCCTTGCTAAGCACCTTTCTTTCTCTCTTCAGTGTGATTTGCCTTCTATGCCACCATTTTCTTCTGAAGGCCCCCCTCAGTAATCATACAAACCTGCCTGTCATTTATATACCTATTTAATTCAATCATTCTCTAACTCTTGTCCACCCTCTGTAATGTTTTGGTTGGCTCCTCCCCATCTATCGCTGTGATCTTACTCCCCTCCATCCACCATTCCATTCACCCCATCTCCAGCTCATCGTGTACCAGATGTCTGAAATCAGTCCTTAGCCTCAGTAGCTGAGGAGTCTAATATATCTTGAGTCTGGCGATAAATCTGCACTCTCAGTTCCCTGAGTTTTGGGTCTAGCTAGAAACTTCCATTTAGACTTCCACTGACTGTCACCATTTGGAACCCTGTTGGAACTGATACCCTGAATCATTGACCCTGATTTCAACATTTGTTTCTTGTATTTCTGCTACATAAATACAATAAATGTAAACATAACTGTCTCAGATCTATTTCTGGACTCATTTCCAGCCTTATTTTCTACAGTTTAGATTAAGGACCCCTATAACCAGCTAAGCATTTGGCTACTAACCAAAAAGTTGGCAGTTCAAACCCACCAACCTCTCCATGGGAGAAAGATGAGGCAGTCTGCTTCCATAAAGATTTACAATCTTGGAAACCCTACAGAGCAGTTCTGTTCTGTCCTAAAAGGTTGCTATGAGTCAAAATTGACTTGATCATAGTGGATTTGTAACCTGTTATCACTTGCCATCAAGGCAATTCTGACTCATGGTGACCCCGTGTGTGTCACAGTAGAACTGTGCCCCATAGGATTTTCAATGGCTGATTTTTCAAAAGTATGTTACCAAGCCTTTTTTCCAAGGTGCCTCTGATTGGACTGGAACTTCTAACCTTTTGATTAGCAGCCAAGCGTGTAAACCATTTTTTATACCACCGAGGGACTCCAAAGAGGGCTATAAGAAGCTAATTTAAAATTGTAGAACTTGTAGAAAGTGAGTTAGATTACTATTCAGGAAATCTTCATTCTGTCTTAGAAAAGGCTTTTAATCACCTTATACCTCATCTGGGAGAGGAAGGGCTTGGACTAAATGGTCCCTGAGTTCTATGGTTTTCATCTTTAAAACACAACTAGATTGACTTCCACAAAATTTAAACCCAATCATGTCACTCACCTACTCAAAATTCTATCACTCTTCTTGCATGTGAGAGAAAGTTCCAACTACTGTAGGTTTTTATTCAAGATTTGGCACAATTTGGTTTCAATCTGCCTTTCCAGCTTTATCTACTATCCTCATCCTCCCCTTATCCTACCAATGACTCCTTTCTTCCTGCCTTACTGGTTCACTCATACAACACCATCGCCTTACCTCCTCCTTTTTGATCATGCCTTTCAGTTGCCTGGAGTGACTTACACCTAACCTCTCTGATCATGACCTACTGAAAACTCCTTTGTGAAGCTTTCCTGAAACATCCTAGTTTGGAGTTGTCTCTCCCTGTATCCAATCTTACATAAAAAAATTACAGTTTGTGTGATTTATCAAGAACTTTCTTGGGTCATCTTTCAGTATTTATTTTGAAATATTACTTACATTTTATATTTTAATTGAGGTTCTCCTCTCTTCCCAACCAGATTAGACTTTTTTGGTGGGGAGGGAGTTTATTAATTATCCATTTGATTGTATAATGATGATATAAATGATGGCATAAAACTATAAGAAACTCAGAACTTCTTTAAATGCTTGGGAGCTCTGGTGGCACAGTGCCTAAGGCATCTGACTGCTAACCAGAAGGCTGGAGGTTCAAACCCACTAGCCACTTCTCTGAAGGAAGATTGGGGACTCTGCTTTTGTAGAAATACTGCCTCAGAAATCCAAGGAGGGGTCACTATGAGTCTAATCAACTTGACAGCAGTGAGTTGGGTTTTGGTTTTAAATGCTTGGTGTCAATTTGCTTATTCTCATTCATTCCTTCCTTTGGCTTTCTGCTTTCTCCCTCACAAGATTCAATTCACTCTCACAGGCTTATCTGTCATGGCTGTGTAGCTCCAACTTCTCAATACACATCTTCAGCCTAGTCTCTTTCCTCAGCTCTAGTGTCATTTCCCCAACTGCCAGTTGGATGTTTCCGTATCACCTCAAGCTCAGTATGTTAAAGGGAAAGACAACAGCCTAGCTCAGCATTTTTCTCGCCAACTCATACTTCATTGCTGACTTCTTAAGTCTTTCAATGGAACAATTGTCATTCCCAGACTCCCGCACTCACATGTAACTCTTTCCTTCTTCTGGCTAATATTCACAATCTTACCGGTTCTCTCTTCATATTTTTGGTATCCCTTTTCCTTTTGATAACCCCAATTTCATCCTAACCTTAGTCTTTTTCATCTCACTATTTTAGAAGGCTTCTAACTGGTTTTCTTCCTTCTGATTTCTCCTCCA